ATGAGTCACTTCCTGCAAGTGTGTTTTTGTGGCAGTGATGCACACATGCTCCTGGTGTGTAATGTCACCTGTAATTGCTGAGCAATCCTGGGAAGGGCGGCAGAAAGAGCCCTGGCTGCACAGGTGGGAGGGTCCACTGTGGGGGGCTCCTTGTCACAGGTTCTCCAGGATTTCTGTACAGGTCCCTCTCCTTACAGCCAGGCCCCAAGAGACCTTTGTCCCTGTTCTCCTGGTGTCCATCCTTTCTACTGTCTGTCTCTCATGCCCTCCCACGTCCCCACAGCCCTTCCCCCTTGCACAAGCAGGGCTCCCTTCCTAGAATGTGTCTTTCTGCCAGTGTTTCCTCTAACTGTTCCCTCAGCTCTGTAAGGCAAACTTCTGCTCACCTATTGTTGTTATGGTATATATCTAGATGTCCCCCGAAAACCTCACGCATTCATAGGTGGGGTTTTGGGGAGGTGACTGGATCACAGAGGCATGATATTCATCAGTGGATTAGTCCACTGATGACTTTATAGCCAAATATGATGTTGGAGGGTGAAACCTGGTTGGCGGAGGTGGGTCACTGGGGGTGTGGCTTTTTTGGTCTTCCTCCCTTGATCTATCTCTGCTTCCTGCTGCCATACCATGGGCAGTTTGTCCTCTGTGATGCCCCTCTGCCACACCACCCTGCCTTGGAGCCAGCGAATATAAACTGAAACCTCCACAAATTGTGAGCCAATATAAACCTTTCCTCCTTTAACTTGTGGGTGTTGGGTATTGTGTCCCAGCAACGAGAAATAACTAAGACACCTGTCAAGCTTCATATCATTCCTCCTCTTCCAGGGAGCATTCCCAGACCCCATGAGCCTGAGAGACAGCCCCAGTTGTAGTTACTCACTTGTTTTGAATACTTCTGCAAGTCAGTACACACACTTCTCTCATAGCACTTAGGATATTAATGATAATAATGGTTAAATGTTTACTAATCCCTTATTACATACTAGGCAGAAGTCTAGACACTTTATAAATACTGCCTTATCTAAGACTCACAATAACTCTATGAAGTAGGTACAATTATTACCCTCATTTTATAGAGAATGCTACAGAGATATGAAGTAACTTGCCCAAGGCCACAGAGCTCTTAAGAGGCTAAAAGATACCTAGATAAGTGCCTAGCACAGAGTACCTGTTCAATAATTATTCATCTCATGAATTATTAAGTGGGTGAATAAATTCAGAAACAATGACACTTTGGTCTCCATTACACAAAGCTCAAGCGAGAATCGCTTCTTTTTACCTTTCTAACCATCTTTCCCCGGTTAAAGCAGTGGGTGCTAAAAACACCTGCAGGTAGACGAATGCATGCAGGAATGTAAAAGCAAGCCAAGAAAGAACCCAAATCCCAGCAGGGCCATTCCTCGCTGCAGCTAAAGAAACTTCAGCTTCCTGGGCCCCTGTTTGTCCCCCGTTGAAAGGAGACACGGTACTCAGCACTCTCTTAGTTCCTCCCAGCATTACGGATTTACAGAGGAAATGACCAGAACCCATGGCTTTGTGATATGGCAAATCCCATACCAATTTATGCACTGTAGCCCCTCTGGTTGCTTTCTCCAGCAATACCACCCAGTTGGCTGTGACAGCTGAGCAGGTGTTGCCCTATGCACAGTCTCTATCAGTCCTGAGAGAGGTAATTTGGCTTGGTCCTTAGTCCATTCTTATCCAGAGTCACACCCATGGAAAGTTATCAAGCACCTGATGAAACCCTCATTAAAGAATAATCAATAATGAAGAATGATCTCCAGTTAGCTTGTGTAACTGGTACCGGAGCCACTGCTCCCAAGACTGAATGGGTCATTCTCCTCGTCTCATGGTGTCCCCACCAAAGCCCTTCTTTTTGAATAGACCCTGGTCCCCACCTCCTGTCACCAGCAGCACATGCACATGCATACACTTCCGCTGATGGCACAAATGTAGCAGCACGGTGCTCAGCACACAGCAGGGGCTGCTTGCGAGACGCCGAACCCCCATCCCACTCCAGATGTGGCTATGTCCGTGCAAAGGTACAGGTTTGGCTGAACTGCAGTTATCCCCACCCTGCCCTTGGCAGATCGGGAGCTTGGCATTGTGCCTGGCACCTGACGCATCTGCACTACCTGGCTTAGCATGGGCTGCCACATGTATGCCAAGGCCCAGTATTTCTTGTTTGGCTGATACTAAGTGTAAACCATTACACCAAAGGAAAGGTAAATGCAATGTGTAAGCCACACAGGGCCTGTTCACGTGGCAGGAGGGGCAGGTCCCCTCTGCTGTGGTTTTGCCTCACTCACAAGAAGCCTAAGCAGTGGCCTTGTGGAGCTGGCCATTAACCACCCACACACGAATCCAACACAGGACACGCCTCTGTCACAACCACAACAGAAGCAAAAGGTCACTGTAGGGGACACCGCTGTCTGTCCTGAACACCCATGTTCTTGGGAACCTGCTCTCTATTCAGGGCAATCGTGGGGTGCCTTGAAAGAGCTGCCAACCACAGTAGGCTGTGGCCTTGGCTTTGGCCATCATTACCCAGGGGTGGGCCCATTAAAAGCCGTCCCTGAGATTGTCTCAGTATTGCGCTAAAACAGAAAGAATTTTGCCTTGTGGGCTGTAGAGTTATAAAGAGATGAGCCAGAGGTTACCACAGGGAGGTAAATCATCTGCAGGGGAAGAATAGTGCCAGCACAAGCAGATCACCCAGGACACGGCTGGAAGGACAGAGGAAGGGAGACTGCATGTCTGGAGCATCCAGTTGCCTGGGTTAATCATGTCCCTGTTCGGTTGGTTACTTTGAACTGGCTTTCTAAAATATGCTGCTGGGGGACCTCATACAGGCATGGTCTATACTTACCATGCATTTCCCAATGTGTCTTCCCCTCCTTGGGGAAAGAGGTGGGCTATCACATATTTGAAATGTCTGGTCCCCCAGATAAGAAAAGCATACAGATTGGTAGGCAAGAGCACTCCTACTCAGCGTCACTCACTAAAGACCGTTTCTTTCCCTTTGTATCTCCAGTGCCAGTAGAGATCTGCCAGCCATGAGATGTAAGGACTCTGCTATTTCAAGTCATCAAAGCTTGTAAAATAGGGGCTGGCCGGACAAGCCAGGGAACCACCCAGCTAGTGAATGCGTATGTGGCGTATGTGTGAGTGAGTGAGTGTGTGTGTGTGTGTGTGTGTGTGTGTGTGTCTCGGGGGCACTGGGGAATGGAAACCAGGCATACTCTACCCTGAACTACATCCCTACCCCTTTTTACTTTTTATTTTGATACAAGGTCTGGCTAAGTTACCTAGGCTGGCTTCAAGTTTATGACCCTCCTGACTCAGCCTCCCACAGTACTGGGATTACAGGTATGTGCCACCACGCTCAACCCCACTGGTGATCCTTGAAAGAAGGATATTTTCACGGTGGCCAGCATTCAGTTCATCCCTCTGATGGCTTCATCTTTTGGAATGTTCACCTTTAGGTCACCAAAAAAGACCTATACCCACAAAGTAAAGCAATGACTTCCTAATGAAAGAGAAACCTTGAAAAGCCCCTCTGACAGAGCCACTTGAGTTTTTCTGTGGAGTTGTATGTATGCATTGGGCTTTCTTTTTTAAAAGAAAGCCAACAAATATAACTACTGAGAAAGGTCACTCAAAGCTAAGGGTGCCCCCTCCTCTAACTCTGAAGAGCTGCCCAGTGAACCAGAATCCATGAAGTTACAAGCAGGGAGGGAGACACTGGCCCCACCCCTTCTCCCCGTTTTCCGTACCACCCCCATGTCCCCTGCCCAAGGCTGGAGTCTGGCAGGTTATGGGCAGACCCTGCCTGGACGGCTCTGTGCTCAGGACGGAGACACTGTCTACTCCCGGCCTGTGGGATGCTCTTCCTATGCCCTGGACAGTCCGGGTGCCCTGGGCTCTGGCGAGCTTAGCAGCTGTCTCCCTAGGGCAGTGGAAAGCAGCCGTATCCCACGGTAGATTCAACAGCTCCTCCTGACCAAAACAAAACCACAACAGGCCCCATTGCCATGGAGAGCTCAAGCCTCTTGTCCTGGGATTGGCACTGACTGGAATTCCAAGGGCTCTGGCTGAGCGACCTCCTGAGAGGTCTAAATACAGCATGTTCAGTCTTAACCTAAACATGCTGCCTGGACCTGCGCCCAGGGCTGACAAGCCCCCAGAGCCAGCCAGCAAGTTGTGACTTCTTGCTGCCCATGGGTGGCGGGCACACAGAGATGTCAGGGGTGGGATGCTCTGAGTCACTGCCAGCCCTGTGGGCTTGGGTGCTGCCTCAAGCCAAGCAATGGGGAGGGCTAACTACAGTGTGGTCCTGAGCAGCGTCCACGGAAGGAAGTCGGGAACTCGGGTATCCAAAGGGAGAGAAAGGAAAGGAAGGTCAGGACCAAGAGCCTACTTCTTAGTCAACTGATTAACAACCAAGGGATCTTTTGAAAATATTTGATTTTGAGAAACACAACTCTCCATGTAAGCCTCTCTTGGAACATAGGACCTAAGGCACAGTATCACACAGACCAAGAGTGCCTTCCAGTCACATAACCTTGGGAGTATTAACTGACTTCTCAGTGTCCGCATCTCTAAAGTGGCCCACGCGACCACTGCAGGTGTTCGGTGAGGTCTTAGACATGATGTGCCCAGCACATAAGAGCTGCTCAGTAAACGGTGGATACTGGAGATGAGCAGAAGTAAAATGATGAAGTCTTTGCTGCACTCCCTCTGCCCTGATTTCAGTTTCCTTCCTGGGAAGGGGCACAAGAGGGGGACTGTGGCCACTATGATAAGATGGAAACTTCTGACCAGGAGGAGCTTAGCATGTAGAGACGAAGGAAACCTTCAGATGAGCAGAACAATATGACATGGACACCCACATCCACTAAGAACCTTAGACAAGCCAAATGACAACAGACCTCCAAGTCCCAAATGTCAACCCACCTGCCCCGGGCGGGCGTGAGGGTGTCTACGCAGGACCCCCTTACCTTGGTGTTCATGCACGCCTTCCCTCGCTTGTACTCTTTGTGGGAGCCACGCTTGTCCAGCTTGTACCACAGAGCCTTGGCCTTCCAGGTGGTCACCTTGGACTTGAGCTTTGAGTAAAAGTTCCTGTGGTCCAGAGGGTCTAGGTCCAGGTGGCGGGTGAGGATGTTGAAGGCCTGGAGGGTGCCTTTGCACGTGGAAGCCTGGACAAAGTTCTCAAAAACCTGCCCCGCCTGGGCCTGCTTCTCGTCCTCGTTCTCCCCCATGGCTGGGCAGGCTCGTGGAGCAGCGGCGTGGAGAGGACAGAGAGGATCAGCCTGGGACGCGTCCCACCTGCAGACAGAGGCGGAGAGAGGTGAGCTTGGTGGGCACCAAGGTAGGATGAGGAGTGAGCCATGCCAGAAGGAGATTCCTTTAAGATGTTAAAGCGCTAACCCTCATCCTTAACACAAAGCATAGGCCATCATTGGAAAATGTCCAATCCTGTCTGCCCTTGCTGGAATCTCTTTCTCCCCTGCACCCGCTCCTTGCACTAGCCGAAAAGAACTACAGACTGCACAGAGCTCTGTGTGCCCTGGCTAGTGTTGATGGTGCCAGGTCAGTCTTGCTACAAGCCAGACGGTTCTGCAAATAGCGACAAGTGTGAGGAAAAGGCCAGGAAATACACTCAAGACTCAGCTCCATTGAAAACTGACTGTTCTTGGTGCTACCAGCTGATTGATTAATATACAGGTACCTTCGCCATGTTACCCTCCTGCACAAAGACGCAAAGCACATTCCATTCTGGGTTTTACAGTCGCCCCACCTGTCCTTAGACCTGACATTTTAAAGTCTCCCTCACTGTCACCAGTGCGCAGATGTTTCCCCTACACAGGTGATGACGGCAACTCCCCAAAACTTCTCTCCGCTTCTGGGCTCTGCGGGAAGCACACACCTCCTCAGTCAGGGGCGCGGAGGACAAGAACATGTGGACACAGATTAAAGGGGTCTGTGCTTTGCGAGCAGGCTGGCCGCTGTCTGGAGCAAGTGCTCAGCCTCTGGAAGGGAACAGGCGATGGGTGTTCATTCACATCACAAAAATAGCCTGCCTGGGTTTTGGCCATGGTCCTTTCTCTGCACCACTCTAACCTCAGACATTTCTTAGGAAAGTCATTTAGGTTTCAAAGGAACAAAAATAAAGTAGAGCTGATTTTCCAAAGCACTAGTTATTTTTCCAGAATCCAAAGCTAGCTCAAGAAGGCCAGCATAGAAGGGCTGAAACTGACCCAGCTGTCAGGGGATCTGAGGGGTCAACAGGGGGGCTCAGCAGACAACTCCCCCACAGGGCCAGGCAAGAGAAGGTCAGCAAGCACACAAAGTGCACAGCCCTCGGGGTAGCATTGTGTTCCCCAAATGAGGACAGCTAGCTATCTAGGGCACGTCGGGGTGGTAGGCTGGTTGTATAATGCTAAAAGCAGAGAATGGTGTTTATTTTAGTCCCTAATCTCTCACTCATTCATTCAGCAACAATTACTGGTGCCTTAGCAAGTGGCAGGCCTCGTGCTAGGTCCTGGGGATACAGAAATGGGGCCAACATAGGTCAGGCAAGGCAGGATGGTGGGCTAGCAGGCAAGTGCTCCTAGACTGTGAACACCGAGCAGGGATCCCAGGGCAGCAGGTCTCAAGAGAGCCTCAAGAAGTCCACAGAGCCACCAAGGGAGAAATACAGAAAAGCTCCAGTTGTAGGAATGAGGAAGATTTCACTAGAAGACTGGGGAGTGGACATGCTGGGCCAAGGAGGTGCCAGATAGAGGCGGGACTCTGGAACCGGCAGTGTGGGGCAGAGTGACAGTAAGTTCCAAGTGTCAACCGTTCAGGGCTCCTGAGAAGGTGTGCAAGGGATACACAAGTACCAGGGCAGATTGTGGCATATCCCTTCTAGGCCAATGGGCACTGACAGCTCAGTTGGGACCCTTCCCTCCTTTCTGCTTCCCCCAAGAGCTTCCAGCAGAGTGCCGGGCTGGAGGCTGAGCAGCACACACCCCTTGCTCCGGGCCTCGTCAGCCTGCACACCCAAGTCAGGCCCAGATCCTCCAGCTGGCCCTACCTGGCTACCTGGTCCACGCCACTCAACGAGTTCCACAGGCTGGGAGGACTGGCCCTGCCTGGCCTAGATGAGACACAGACTCCTTCACAGATGTTCTCTCGGCTCCTTTAATGTCCGCGATGCTCACTTTGGCATCCCTCACATAAACACTGCCGCCGTCAGCGTCTCAACTTTCCCCACGTGCCCCACGTGCCACCCAGAGAGCATACACGGATGGCAGGACGCCTCTGCTTCTCCGAGCCTATTAACATTCCCAAAGCTTATCTATCTTGGGAGCTAGCTCAGGGCCAGCACGAACGGCAAAGGCAGAGGCTGGCGGAGGCTTGCATGCTGTCTGGTATGCTACGTGCAGACTTTTCTGAGAGCAAACAGATTGGAGCTACAGAGCTCAGACCAAAGCTCGGCTTCGACCCTCACTGCCCATGCAGCTGTGTACAAGCCGCTTACATACCAAGCCTCCTGTTCTTCTTTTACAAGAGACAGATGAGAATGATAAGAGAAAGACAGAAACGCACCTGCTGGTGGAGCCTGACCCCAACAAGCATCTGCTGATGGGCTACCACCTGCCGCACCCATCTCCCCTGGCAGATTCAATCTGGGGGTGTGCAGCAAATTCAAAAAAAAAGTTTTGTAAATCAACTCTCCAAGTTGTCAACTCCTCCTTGTCTAAGATCGCACACCAATTTAAAGGTATCAAGCCAGATCTGACTCCCAGACAATAATTTACAAACTGGAAGAACTTGCTTCCTTCTCTCCAAAGAAAAATGAACAACTTAATCTTAGGGTTCCTGCACAGAAAGAGCCACAGAGCTGAGGTGGGCGTGGGAGCCCCAGGAACCAGCTCTTATCTAGGGTGAGATAAGGGGAGGTGGAGGAAGACAGGCGACAGGGAGAGATAAGCACAGCCTTGGACAGGCGCCCCCGCAGCCTGTGCCAGGCTCAGACCTGCCTCCCTGCATCTAAACAACCGGGTCTCAATGATCAGCTTGCCAATTTAAGTCAAAGATGATGTTGACACCCACAGTGGGTAGCTGTCCTCGTGGGAAAACATCAGAATATTTAGGTAAATCTGGTTGTGCATCTGGTCACAAGCACTTGCTGATTGTGTGGCTCTACAAGTTGTCTCATCAGCCCCGGCCTCCATTTTTTCTCATCTGTAAAATGGGAATGATTCTACTCAGGTCCTAGGGTGGTAAATGAGATCAGATATATGATGTATTTAACACCTGGGAGCTGCAGGGTAACTAGCACTGTACCATGGCCCAAACATCATAGACCAAAAAAAAAAAAAAAAAAAAAAAGGAGCATAATTCATAACTATTTAGATGCCCTTCCCAGGTCAATGAATTATATATATTTTAGAACTAGAAAACAAAACTTTCAGTTCAGGAGACCAGGTTCAAACTCACTTCCTAGCCATGGAGCCTGGGACAGATCACTACACTTCTTGGTTTTAAGTCCCTCACATTTCAAGTGGGGAATATCACTCAGTATAAATTTAGCAATAACCTAAAGCCGTACGGTGCATAGGGTGACGCTGGTTGTGAACTGGGAAGGGCTGACCCAGCACTCCGAGGGTTCAGTGAGTCTGAGAGTCAAACCTTTGCTTCCGGAGAACTGGGGTGTGCTACCCTCGGTGGGCACCCTGGAGAAGAAAGTCCAGAGTGTCAACTCAGAGGACACCAAGTGGCTTGCTCTTGTGGAGGTCTGCCTTGCCCACTACCACCCACATGCTGCCTTTTTGGAGTTTGATATAGAAATAGAGCCAACTAGCCAGGAATAGGAAAGGTTATGCATTTTCTGGGAAAAAAACAAAATGTGACGCTATAGCTTCCAAGAATAGCCCTGAAGCAGTTTGGATTTTGCCAGCTGGAGTCCCTCATTTGTGGTTTTTGCCTGCCTATGTGACTTCATGAGTCACAAAGCAACTCCCTTCCCTGCCTCTGGCCACTACAAATTAACACTCAGGGTCTCAAATTGCAGGTGACAGCACCAGTGATGGGCTCAACTGGTGGGATCTGGGAGACAAGTCCAAGGTTTAAGAGTCCCTGAGCCCTTCTCAGAATGACAGCCAGGCCTCCGTTTTCCCTATACACTCACATTCAGGACTCTTACACCCTCTGCCTTCCTTGAAGCTCACCACCTGCCAAGTGGCAGCAGTGTGACCAGGCCTTGGGGAAAAGGCAGAGTGCTATAAAAACTCAAGGGGGTCCAGGAAGGGACACTGGGCAAAACCTTCCTACAGAACAGCAGTTTGGCCCAAATGATAAGCTCGATCTCTCAAACCTACCCTCAAAGCCCACAGACAGGCTCTGTTTTCAAAGTTTGGTGCAACCTAGGAACAAAATCTTCTTGTTCTGGACACTGCCAGGTTTGAAACCTATCATCTCCAGGGTGGACTTTTCCATGGAGCTGCAGGGCAGGCTCAGCAATGCAAAGGCGTGTGCACCAGGCACCTTGCAGGATGGGAAAGGGCTGACAGCTCCGGCTGAGCCTCACACACGGAAGATACTCAGTCACGGCTACTGGACCCGACACTGAGATGAGGCGGGAGCCAGCCAGGCTTCCCTTGGCTGTGGGAAGCGCGGCTCGCTCTTACGGCATCTCTGTAGAGAGCAGCAAGGGCAGGAGCACTTGGCTCACAGGTGGGGCCAGCAGACCCCTCCCTCCTGCCTGGCTTTCCCTCTACCAGCATACTCAGCAGCCAACTCAAACCAAAAAGAGCAATTCAGGATTGTGAAGGGACTGAAAAAGCCACCTTGTCCTCCTTCCAGCCAGGGTGCCCAGCTTGGTCACCTGCATAAGGGAGACCGCATGGCCTCTTGGGGCCACATATTCCACCCTGACTCCCTGGAAGAGAGCTCGAGAAGTCTTCATTCATTCAGGTCATTCCCCAGACAGAGAGAGGAGCTCTGTCCCCAAAGGGCTCTGTGCTTGCTCTGGGCCTCGGGATCACCCCCAGGAAGTGGAAGCCCTCTCCATGCACGCTGCCGACAAGTGTGGAGCTTACATGTGCTGCACCCCCTCCGCGAAGGCTTCTGGCATGCATGCACTGTGGGAGCCCTAACCAGGTCCTGGCTGCAGCGAGGGCCTGGACACCTTCTCTGTCACCGCTGGCCTGAGGCAGGAGCACTGGAAGAGACTCCAAGTCCACTTCGAGCCGTGGTTTTCTCTGTCAGCTCCTCCACCAGCATCTGGCTCCTGTCTTTCGGGCCCCAGCCCCCTCTCAGTGAGGTGTGGGCTCAGCTGGTCCTGTCTGAAGGGGCCTCACACATCCCACATCTTCATCCCTGCCCACTCCCTCTGGGAGTCATAGTGACAGGCCTGAGATGCCCCAGTGAGTCAGTCCCCAGTCTCCAGTGTCTCACTATCTGGCATCAGAGACACCTGGATGTGGACCAGGCACACCACTAGGAAGGAGGGAAGGCAGCCAGCATCACCAGGGGCCCATTGTGTGCCAGGCACCTACACCCTGCATTATGCCCACAAGTCCTTGCAACAGTCTGTAAGCTGCCAGGAGCCTCTCTCTCTGTAAGTAAGAATTAAGTCATGAAAAAGTAATTTCAGAACTGTCCACCTCCCTTTTCTGTAACTCACTGTAGTTTGTCATATGTGGTTGTTATTGTCGTGTGTGTGTGTGTGTGTGTGTGTGTGTGTGTGTGTGTGTATGCCTGTGTGTCTATGGGTTTTAGGTATCACATATATATATACATATATGTACTTTCTCCTCCAGGATTCCCACCCATGCTCCATATCTCTGCCTGGTCTCCTGCTCAGCCTCTCCTCAGGACCTTCTAGGACAGTGGTGGTGAACCCATGGCTTGGTGCTACAGTGGGCTGTTTGTATCATTGAAAGCTCTGTTATCGTGTTTTTCTTTTAATGTGTGAATGTATGTTTCAGTATTCAGGTTTAACTGCAGCGTTGTCACTTTGCAATAAATAAGGAGGTCTGGGATTTCAATTGGGACATTCGGTCTCTGAAAAGTTCACCATCCCTGTGAGAGATGAAGAACTCTGGCCAGGCACAGGAGGCTCTCCCTGCCTGCTGCCCTCATGAGGACATAGGCACTGCTCCAGGGTCCCCGTGTTTCAGACACACCTATACCAGCCCCTCTGTCTTAAGGACCTCGTTGGACCAAGCTTGTCTGACAGGCAAACGGAGACTCTGTGGGTGAGCAGCCTCCTTGACATCACACAGGTCTTGAGCAGGACATGAACCCAGGGCTATCTCACTCAATATCCACACTCAGCCACCAGGCCACATGCACCATGTTACGAAGGCAACATGGGTGCCTTTTTTGCAGCTGCTGTGTAAATTACATCAGTTAAGTTCCACAGTCTCTGAAGTTCTAGGCTTGGTGAGTCTACAATCATCAGACACAAGAAATGGCTTCAAAAGTTATGGTGCAACCCAACAACAAAGGATCGGGCAGTGCTTTCTGCTGTATTCCCCCAGTTCCCACCTGGAGCGCGCCCGGCTCTCCCAGCGCCCACCTGCAGGCTCACTCCAAGTCCCCCTGACCCTGCTCTCTGCACAGGAGGTGGGCCTCGCGCATTATCTTCTGCAAGCCCGACAATGCTTGGCACCGACAGGCCCTGACCTCTAGGCCTGCCCAGCCCTGCGTCAGTAGCAGTACTATTTTCTCCAGAAAAGAAAGGGCCACCCTTCTATGAAAGGAAGCCCTGATGTTGCGCTAATGAATTAGCTCAAGTACTAACAGGTAAGGGCCAAGGTCCCTCCCAGCAGCGCTGCTCTGCAGACCACAGGGCCCTTAAGTTCATATGCAACCCCATTCCAAAGAGCTGTGCTCCTCCCCACAGCCGTGTAGCATAGGGATGATGGCACCGTCCACTCAAGTTCCAGCTGTCCCTGCAGTGAACCGTTCTCATGGAAACCTGTGTGTCTGGCTGCCGAGAAAACGAACACCTCACTACACACAGAACCCATCAAACAACAAACACTCAGCAGACTGTTCTTCTGCATGTGCCCTGACTTATCGCAGTCACACACCGGATGCCCAGGAAAACTGTGAACTCAGAATTCCAGTTTCCAGAAGGCAGACGGAGGGTGGGAGGGGTCCACAGCGAGCAAGTTCAGAGACGAAAGCAGCACGGTGTGGCCAGGGGCTGGGGGAGGGGAAGGGAGTCGGTGCTTAATGGTGCTGAGTTTCAGGGTGGGCTGACAGCGTGTGGATGGGTGGCGGCGATGGCGGCACAGCAACGCACACGAGCTCCGTGCTGCTGAGCTGCACCCCCGGAGTTCGATGGTTAATCTCATGTTAGGCACATTTTATCACAACAGCAACAAGAAAATGCGTACAAAATAAAACCACCACGACCCCCATCTAACAGTGCAAGCTGCTCAAGGCCGGAGTGCAGAATGTGTGGCCTCATAAACAATGAAGATGACTTCAAAACACTGTGGAGTTAAAGTGTAATAAGCCAAATGAGTCATTATGCTAGTGGAAAAAATGTGTCGGTGCAGTGAAATAATTTTTAACTTTTGTTTTCCAAAGTCGTCTGGGTTTCTGTCCTTCCCTCCAAATCTCATTTGAATGAAGGAAACCTCCCAACGCTCAGCCCTGTCAAGATCCCAGGGTTTATTTTTCATCCTGCCTTCCCCCAGGATGTTGACACTGACCCATCCTCGCTGCACCTGGCACCTGTGAAATCTTCAGCATCCCAGGGAGGTTTGGGTCCCAGCTCCCTGGTGTTGGTCCCCAGGGGCTACCGTACATCGCCTTCTTAGGAGAACGCGGCCCCACCCTTGGGTTCCAGTGGCCCCTGCACAGTGCTACCGCTGACTGCAGTCCCTCAAAAGCTGGGAAGGTTCTTCTCTGTGGTGAGCAGCTTCCCCCAGAGCTCTCTGAAGACAGGTCTACACCAGACCAGCTGCTTGGACACACTATTGGCTTGAATGAGTGCTAACAACGGCTGGGTCAGCAGATAAGTTTCTGTCCCTCAAGTCAGGGCCTGGCATATTTTTCATTGACTAACCTCAACTTTAAGGACAGTCTCCACGAATCCTTCTGACTTCCTTGGAGAACCCACTGCTGGCTGAAGAAGCTTCCCCATTTATAAAAACAGCCCTGGCTCCATCACCCGCTGTGTTTACTACTTTGTGCACACAGGCATGAGCACATCCGTACTCCACAGCTCCTAGCCCTCCTTCCAGCCTCCTCTCCCCCGGAAGTACCTCATCTCCCTGTGCCCCAGCATTTCCCCAAATGCGATGGGTTTCTCCCCCAGTGGTCCCATAGCACCCTGCACTGACCTCCATTACAGTTGGTTATGCTGTGTTGAAATGAGTATTTTATTTCCTGCTTTCACTTCCTATAGAACAAAGCCTTCTCTCTATAGTACAGTAAATACTAAAGGGAAGAATGAATGATAGTTGGGAAATAATCATTGTTGACATTTAATGAGCATTTATTGCTTATTCTGAAGCGATGCGTTAAAAGCTTTATATATATACTGAAGTCATTAATCACTGTAATGAAATGAGGCATTGGTAGATACTAGCATCATCCCCATTTTTTAAAGAATTAGAAAAGCCAGCAACTTCTCCAAGGTCAGAGGGCCAGAAGTGGTGAATCTGTGATTCAGAAGCCCCACAGCGGGAGTTCAGAGGCACATCCTTACCCACCACCCCGACCCTGCTCCCATGCAAAGTGGGTGGAACCTTGCACAGCAAATCAGGCACGTGACCTCAGGGATAGACTTTTAATTCATGATGCTGTCCACCCTTCCTTCATCAGACTCCCAAGTGCTGGGCTCTGCATGTAGCAAGACTTCCTGGGTCCTTCCTTGTGGCTGTGAGAGCCCAGGTGACCAAGTTCGAGGTCATGGAACATGAGCTGGGGATATTTGTGCCACTCGGAGGACAGAGCTGTAAGATCCGCTGTGTTCGTTCCTCCTCTGGAGGATGGTGGCCCTGGCAGCACATAGTGAGGACAGCAGAGCCCCAGGGAGAAAGGAGCCAGGTCCCCTGCGTGCCTGCCTGGAGGGAAACCTTTAGAACCAGACAGGTTTCAGACAGGTTTCAGTCTTTACATAGGTGAGAAATAAACATGGACTGAGTAAAGGAACCAGGGGTCTGTCTGTTAGGCAGCTACCATCACCTTTTTTTGTTGTTTATTTTTTGTTTTGTTTTTCTTCCGGTACTGAGAATCAAACTCACAACCTTGAGCTTGCCAGGCAGGCGCTGTGCCACTGAGCTAAACCCCCAGGCCCATCACCTTAAAGAATACAGTAGGTGTCTGCGGCCGGCGTGCCACATTGGCCTGCGCCAGAAGTCACCTTCCACCCGCCAGGCAGGGAGTTTGGCCACGTGGGAATCCACATTCCTCATAAAACCATCAATTCCCAGTAACAACTACCATCATCACTTTATGTCTTTCATTCCATGAAGATCTTGATACCCTGGAAAAGTTGCTTGGTGCTCAGAAATAACCCTGTCCACTCCTCTGCGGAGACACTGCATATGCACACCTTGCCTTGCAAAGACACATCTCCCAATTCAAAAATGGCAAAAGACAAGAGATGGGGACGGATAGTCTACTTCATTTCCTTGGCCTCAGTAACAGCCCAAGTGCTCTGGAAGGCTCCCAGGGCCCGGCAAGCCCTTCTGATGTGGCAGGAAGAACACGGGTCTCTGAGTCACTAACGCCCTCCCTGGAGCAGGCATAAAAGACACAGAGTGCAGTGGGGAGGAGGTGGGGGGCCTCTCCGAGCGCAGGGCTCCCAGATGTGCGTGGTGGGTGTCAGCATGGGGTTGATCCCACCACTACCCCCCACAGGCCAAGCCCAACCAAGGCAGACTGGGGTGCTTCACCTGGGGAGTACAGACTAGAGAGCTCACCTCTCTTGAGCCAACTTCCTACTCAAGGTTTGACAGCTGGAAGCACGCTTTCCACCATGTCTCTGCCACCACCCCCTAGAGCGACCCTTTGAGCCAGAACGGTGCTCTTTCTTCCAGGGTACAGAAATTAGGCCTCAGGGACTTGACTCTTCCTACTTAGTCTAAAGATGCGGAGCGATGCTGTGGAGGATGCACAGAACTCATGACAGAGTGAATGTGAAAAGGGTTTTTCGCTAACAGCTGCTTGCTGTGTCCACAGCACCTCATCTGACAAAGAAGCCATCTCCACCCCAAGCCACTCCTGACCCAGCAGTGTTTCATCAGCAGGGTCCTCCAAAGGGCCCCCCACTTTGGAATAACGGGGCCACCTAACTGTATCTTTCATCCATCCTCCCCAAAATTCATTGCTCAGCAAGTTTTTGGTTGTTTTCTCCTTTGTGAATTTATCAATACAAAGTCGCTCCCAAAACGCACACGAACTCAATCACAGTTTTATCTAAATCTGCTTTACTGGAGAGGAAAGGCTACTTTTCCTTCTTCCCCTTGCAGCCGAGGTCCCCAAAAG